TTCTTTCTGATTCAATCTTGGGAGACTGTATGTTTCCAGGAATTAATCCATTTCCTCTAGATTTTCTAGTTTGTGTGTGTAGAGGTGTTCGTATTAGTCTCTGAGGATCTTTTGTTTTTCTATGGGATTGGTTGGAATGTCACCTTTGTCATTTCTGATTGTGCTTATTTGGATTTTCTCTCTCTTTTTCTTTTTTAATCTAGCTGGCAGTCTATAGATCTTGTTTATCCTTTCAAAGAACCAACTTTTGGTTTCGCTGATTCTTTGTGTGGATTTTTGAGTCTCAATTTTGTTCAGTTGTGCTCTGATTTTATTTCTTTTCTTCTGCTAGCTTGGGGTTAGTTTGTTCTTGTTTTGTCTAGTTCTTCTAGGTGTGATGTTAGATTGTTGATTTGAAATCTTTCTTTTTGAGGTAGGCATTTAGTGCTGTAACCTTTTTTCTTAACACTGCTTTTGCTATATCCCAGAGATTTTGGGATATTGTGTCTTTGTTTTTATTTATTTCAAAGAATCTTTTGATTTCAGCCTTGATTTTATTGTTTACCCCAAAGTCATTCAGGAGCAAGTTGTTTAATTTCCATGTAATTGTGTGGTTTTGAGAGATCTTCTTGGTATTGATTTCTATTTTTATTCTACTGTGGTCTAAGAGTACGGTTGATATGATTTTGATTTTTAAAAAATTTATCAAGACTTACGTTATGATTGAGCATGTGGTTAATCTTGGAGTATGTTCTGTGTGCAGATGAGAAGACTGTATATTCTGTGGTTGATATATAGAGTGTTCTGTACATATCTATTAGTCCAGTTGGTCAACTGTTAAGTCCAGAATTTCTTTGTTAATTTTCTGCCTTCATGATCTAATCCTGTCAGTGGGGCATTGAAGTCCCTTACTATTATTGTGTGGTTATCTAAGTCTTTTTGTAAGTGTATAAGTACTTGTTTTATGAATCTAGATGCTCCAATGTTGGATACATATATATTTAGGATAGTTAAGTTTTATTGAATATAACCCTTTATCATTATGTAATACCCTTCTTTGTAAAACATTGTTGGTTTAAAGTCTATTTAATCTGATAATAAGATTTTTTTTCTGCCTTTTTTTTTTTTGTTTTCTTTTTGCATGGTAGATCTTTCTCCACCCCTTTACTTGGAGCCTATGGGTGTTATTACATGTGAGATGGGTCTTTTGAAGACAACAGATGGATGGGTCTTGTTTCTTTATCCAACTTGCCACTCTTTGCCTTGTAAGTGGGGCATTTAGACCATTTACATTCAAGGTTAATATTGATATGTGAAGTTATGATCCTATTGTGAAATTGTTAGCTGTTTGCTTTGTAGTTTCTATTGTTTTTTTTCTTTATAGGGTCTGTGGACTATGTACTTAAGTGTGTTTTTGTGGTAGCAGGTATCATTCTTTTGTTTCCATATTTAGGACTCCCTTAAGGATCTGTTGTAAGGCTACTCTAGTAGTAACACATTCCTTTGGCACTTGCTTGTCTGGAAACGATTTTATTTCTTCTTTGCTATGAAACTTAGTTTGGCAGGATATGAAATTCTTGGTTGGAGTTTCTTTACTTTAAGAATGCTGATAATCGGCTGCCAGTCTCTCCTGGTTTGCAAGGTTCCGGCTGGCAAGTCCGCTGTTAGCCTGATGGGGTTCCTTTTGTACATGATCTGCCCTTTTTCTCTAGCCGCCTTTAAGATTTTTTCTTTAGCATTGACCTTGGACAGTATGGTGACTATATATGTCTTGGTGATGTTCATTTTGAATATAGTATCTTGCAGGTGTTCTCTGGATTTCTTGTATCTGGATGTCTACCTCCCTGGCAAGATAAGGAAAGTTTCCTTTTTTTTTTTTTTTTTGACATTTTTCACAAATTTATTTATCCATGTTCTAAGGACTAGGGAAGTTTTCTTGAATTATTGCCTCAAGTGTATTTTCCAAGTGGTTTGCTTTTTCTCCTTCTCTCTCAGGAATGTTAATAATTTGAAGGTTTGGTTGCTCTACATAATCCCACATTTCTGAAATAATTTGCTTATTTTACTTATTTTTAAAAATTCTTTTTTTTTTTTTGGTCAGATTGGGTTCATTCAAAAGACCAGTCTTGAAGTCCTGAAATTCTTTCTTCTGCTTGGTCCAGTCCATTTATAAAGCTTTCAATTTTATTTTGAAATTCCTTAAGCGAGTTTTTTAATTCTAGAGGCTCTGATTGATTTCTTTTTAAGATGTTTATCTCTTCATTTCCTGGATTGCTTTAGAAGTTTCTTTTCTCGATTTTTAACTTTGTCTTGGATCTCTGTGAGCTTCCTTGCAAGCGTGCTTTGAAGTTTTTTTTTTTTTTTTTTTTTTTTTGATACAGAGTCTCACTCTGATGCCCAGGCTGGAATGCAGTCATATAATCTCGGCTTACTACAACCTCCATCTCCCAGGTTCAAGTGATTCTCCTGCCTCAGCTTCCCAGTAGCTGGGATTACAGGCACATGCCACCACGCCCAGCTAATTTTTGTATTTTTAGTAGAGATGGGCTTTCACCATATTGGCCAGGCTGATCTCGAACTCCTGACCTCAGGTGATCTGGCCGCCTTGGCCTCCTGAAGTGCTGGGACTACAGGTTCACACCACACCTGGCCTATGCTTTGAGTTCCTTATCTGTTATTTCTGAGTTTCTATTTTGGTTAGGGACCATTGCTGGAGATCTAGAGAAATTTTTTGGTGGTGTCACTACCTTCAGCTTTTTCATGGTGCCAGAATTCTTGTGCTGGTTCCTTCTCATCTAGAGACATTGGCACTTCTGATTTTTGTAATTATTTTCATGCAGGTAGGATTTTTTTTCTTTTTCTTTCTTTCCCTATAATGTTGTTGTTATTGTTATTATTATTATTAATTTTTCTTTCCTTTCCCTTTTCCCTGCTTGCCTAGGGGATGTGACTGTAGAGAATGCTTGGTAAGATCTTTTGGCTTTGCTTGAACAGCCCTATGCTGCTGCTGCTGCTCTTCTCCTTCTCCTCCTTCTTCTTCTTTTTTTTTTGGAGATAGAGTCTCACTTAGTCACCCAGGCTGGATTGCGGAGTGCAGTGGCCCAATCTTGGCTCACTACCACCTCCTCCTCCCAGGTCCAAGCAATTCTCTTGCCTCAGCCTCCTGAGTAGCTGGGATTGCAGGCACCCACTACCATGCCTGGCTAAGTTTTGTATTTTTAGTAGAGACAGGGTTTCACCTTGTTTGCCAGACTGGTCTCGAACTCCTGACCTCAAGTGATCTGTCCACCTTAGCCTCCCAAGCCCCCAAGGTTGCTGGAATTACAGGCATGAGCCACTGCGACCAGCTACCCTATGTACTTCTTTCAGCATTTTTTTTTTTTAATCTTTTTTATTATGCTTTAAGTTCTAGGGTACATGTGCGCAACGTGCAGGTTTGTTACATATTTTCAGCATGTTTTATATTGGGCTGTGAAGTTTGTCTTACAAGCCTGTAGATGGCACTTACAGGTGAGAGCCAGCTACAACCAGTGTGTTTGGGTATATACTTGATCCTTGTTTACTGGCAGAAGCTCTCTGTTGCTCCAGGCGATTAGCTGATTTGTAGAACACACAGTGGTCTGCACTCCTTGTTCAGCCCTGGTCGTGACAGGGGTTGGGAGGGTGGCATTGGGAGACATGAAGGGCAGAGGCAGACCTGGCGAATCTGCCTGCAGGTCCCCTGATGGTAGACACAAGCACTAGTGCCAAGGGAGAATCCAGTGGGTGACCATGAAGTACCCAAAGGTTTTCCTAGGTGTGGAGCTGGGAAACCTGCTCAGCTCCAAGTTCTCTGCATGAGGATGAGAGGATGGCCTAAGCTCCTAATCCAGGAGAGTGGTTGCTCCAGTTGCCTGGCGAGCTGCCTGGACATGGACCAGAGAGGGTCTTGCTGCACTATGATCTATGCCCAGGAAGCATGGGGCAGCTTAGGCTGCTGAACCAGATGAGAGGGTGCTCTGAATGCCTGGATATCTGTCTGGTTGTGAGGCAGAGGGGGACTCTCTGCACCAGACTCTCTGCAAAGGAAGAGTGGGGCAGGTCAAGCTGCCAATCCAAGTGAGTAATGCTCCAAATGCCTGGAGATATGCCTGGGCATGGAGCAGAGAGGGCCCCCATGCACCAAGAGCTCTACACAGGAGGGCTGGGGCAACTTAGGCTGCTGGACCAAGCATGCAGTGCTCTGAATGCCTGGAGATCTTCCTGGGCATGTAACAGAGAGGGTCCCCCTGCACCAGGATCTCTGTACAGGAAGGCTGGGGCAGCTTAGGCTGCTGAACCCGGCAAACAGGTATTCCAAATCCTGGAGATCTGCCTAGGTGTGGAGCAGAGAGAGCCTCACAGCATCACAGTCTATGTCCAGGAACGGTGGGGTGGCTCAGGCTACTGGTTCAGGCAAGTACATATTCCAAATGCCTGGATTTCTGCCTGGGGTTGGAAGAGAGAGGGTCCCGCTGTACCATGATCTCAGGGAGGCAGGGTGGGGCATCCAGTGATGGCACACGCAGATCAGTTGCAGGTTTCTGTGCTGGCCCTGGCTTCAAGTCTCACCACCCAGGAGAAACTGCAGCTGTAGCAGCTCTCTTCCGTGCCAGACTTGTGACAGGGGAGAGCACAATTCCAGCACCTACTGCTGAAGCACTTTCCACAGTTCTGGATATGGAGGCTGCCTATCCAACTCTGGAGCAGGTGTTCCAATCCCTGGCCTGAGACTAAAATGCCCGTACAGCCATGCTGCAGGTCACCCAAGAATGGCCCAGATTAAAAATGGTGTCCTGCTCTCAGTCTCAGATCTGGGAAAATGCCTGCAGCTTTTCCCAGTGTCTTTCCTTCACAGTGTCTCCAATCCTCTCCTCAAGTTAACTACAGGGCTTGGGAGAAGCAAAATGCTCTCCCTTGGCCTGGGTTGCTTGGATTCCCAGTGGCAAGGTGAGTCACAGAGGGAGGCTTCATCCTTTCTCACGTACTGGGGATTCACTCACCTTTGTCAGCTGGATGCTATCATGGGGGCTGTTTTCTGGCATTCTCCTCCCTGGGTTCTGGGTTGTCCTTTATGATTCCAGTAGATTTCCATTTTCCTCCTTGAATTAAAACTCACAGAGTTGATCTTTATGTACTATCTTGCCATTTCCAAGGGTCCGAGGCATGCTGAAAGCCGCTAATCCACCATCTTGGAAAAAAACCAACCGAAAACACTCATTTTATATTTCATGGGACAATCTGGTTAAGGCTCTTGAACCTGAAATAAAGAGGATCTTGGATCAGATCCATAGGAATAGGACATTATTTGAAAAGTTTCAGATAAAATATACGCAGAGGCCGGGCGCGGTGGCTCAAGCCTGTAATCCCAGCACTTTGGGAGGCCGAGGCGGGTGGATCACGAGGTCAGGAGATCGAGACTATCCTGGCTAACATGGTGAAACCCCGTCTCTACTAAAAATACAAAAAACTAGCCGGGCGTGGTGGCGGGCGCCTGTAGTCTCAGCTACTTGGGAGGCTGAGGTGGGAGAATGGCGTGAACCCGGGAGGCGGAGCTTGCAGTGAGCCGAGATCACGCCACTGCACTCCAGCCTGGGAGACACAGCGAGACTCCGTCTCAAAAAAAAAAAAAAAAAAAAAAAAAAAAAAAAATATATATATATATATATATATATATACGCAGAGAGAGTTTGTGTTTAATTTCTTATTTTTATAAAGCTTCAAGTAAATTATTCATTTAGCAATTTTGTCATTTAGGTAAATATTTTAATGTCTACATACAAGTAAATACATTTTTACTTTTCTTTCTTTTTTTTTTTTTAATCGGAAGAGACTTGGATTATGATTTTTACTTTTCAAAGATTCTAGTGTCGGGGCTGGGTGCGTTTGCACATGTCTGTCATCCTAGCTACTTGTGAGGCTGAGGCAGGAGAATCGCTTGAGTCCAGGAGTTCAAGGCTACATGAGCTACAATCATGCCTGTGAATAGCCACTGACTGTAGCCTGGATAACATAGGAAGACCTTGTCTCTGGGGAAAAAAAAAATATATATATGTATGTATATATATATATATACACACACACACACACATATATATATACACACACACACACACACACCCCCATATATATATCGTGTCCAGTCATCAGAATAGCTAGAAACAAAAATCCATGATTTAAAATTTCACATACGTGTCTCTCACATTTTAGGTACTGCAGTAAAGTGTTGTTAATTTCATGACATTCCAATAGGGAAATATAATAAGACTGTTTTAAGTGGATGAAGACTCTGAAAACAAATTAATAATAGATTTGTAGGTTCAATTAGTTAAAAATTTGAAATTAAATTAGTAGTTCAACTTGAGACATTTACTCAATCAAAAATAGAAATACATTTTTATGGGGTAATAGACTACATAAATTGAAATGACTCTGCTTCTTTGGCAGATTGACACAAGGTGCTAAAAATGTCCCAGACTGACTGACCCTAGAACCATCAGAGCAGTGAACTTTGGAGTTTCTGGGTTTTATTCTTTTTTTTTTGTGATGGAGCTTTGTTCTTGTTGTCTACGCTGGAGTGCAATGGCACAATCTCGGCTCACTGCAACCTCTGCCTCCGGGGTTTAAGCAATTCTCCTGCCTCAGCCTCCTGAGTACCTGGGATTACAGGCATGCGCCACCATGCCTGACTAATTTTATATTTTTAGTAGAGACAGGGTTTCCCCATGTTGGTCAGGCTGGTCTTGAACTCCCGACCTCAGGTGATCCACCCGCCTCGGCTTCCCAAAGTGCTGGGATTACAGGTGTGAGCCACCGCGCCCAGCTATTCACTGTTTATTATAATGAAAATGCATTAGATAGCATTCAAATGTCAAAAATAATACTATTTTTCTTAGATTATCAGGCAACACATTATGTGATTCCTACTCAGACCAGCATATTCATACTAAATAAAAGACTGAATATCACTAGAAAGTTGGCTAACAGTTATAGGTATGCACATACACACACATATTAATTTTAATTTATTATTTTAATGCTTCTAGGGGGAAAAATACAATGGTCATCACCTTAAAGGCTGACAAAGCATCTGGCAAAATTCAACATCCTTTCTTCATAGAATAACTTCGTAAAATATAAGTAGATGAATAGTTTCTTAATATGAATACCAAATATATGTATCTTAGTTAAAAAGTCTGAATTATGCTTAGCAGGGAAACTATGGAGGCATTTCTGCCACAGTTATGAACACATCCAGGATGACACTGATTACTTTTTAAAATTGAACTGAAGTACAGACAGATTATGACAGCAACTAGGTGGAAAGTGAAGGAAACTAGGTAAAAGCCACGTATCTTGATTGCAGAGTTGCACCAAAATTAGACCTTGTTCAAGATTATATACACTTGCTTAAGAAAATACCCTAATATGAGAATGACAAAAGATACTGCAGCAATAAATCTAATTCTTAAAAGGTGAAAGAAGCTGAGTGCCGTGGTTTATGCCTGTAATCCCATCACTTTGGGAGGCAAGGCGGGCAGATCACTTGAGGCCAGGAGTTGGAGACCAGCTTGGCCCACATGATAAAACCCTGTCTCTACTAAAAATACAAAAAAAAACTGTGGTGGACACCTGTAATTCCAGCTACTCAGGAAACTGAAGCATGAGAATTGTTTGAACCCAGGAGGCGGAGGTTGTGGTGAACCGAGATCAGGCCACTACACTCCAGCCTGGGCAACAGAGTGAGAGTCTGTCTCAGTAAATAAATAAATACATAAATAAAATAAAATAAAAAAGGTGAAAGAATAACATCCTTTTACAGATGATCTACTAGAGCAAAGAGAAGTATGTTTTAGGAATTTTTTGTTTTATATTATTCAAAAATCAGGAAAACATAGACTCTTCAATACAGATGATCCAAGTTGAGAAAAGACAACAGATTGAGCTGAAAACTGATTTACTGAGATCAGCTGTGATAAAAGAAAGCAAAATGAGATAAAAGAGATTAAATTAATTAAAATTAAATAAATTAAAATTTGCAGTAGAAGTACTAAGCTGTAGACTTAAAACTGAAGAAAATAAAATCAGTGATGTAGGAAAACTAACATAAGAAGCTCCGCCAGAATACAGAAGTAGAATAATAGAATGATGAAGAAAGGAAATAAGTCCTTTGGTTATAAATGATAATTTTGTTCCCTTTGCAGGGAGAGTTTACAGTCTTGAAGGGCAGTGTCATCAGTTGTAACACTGGTAATTGGGGACAGATACAGTCAAGTATTTTAGAATTTAAAATATGCCTTCTGCTTTTCAGATTACTTGAAAATCTTTTCTACAAAAGTAGAAAAGATGAAAGATCAAAGAAAAAATATTTCTTAGAGCAAAAGCTAGAAAACAGCAAAAAAGTATGAACAAAAAGTGTGAAACAAGATCAGGTATTTCACTGACAGGGAATATAAATGGGTTAAGTTCCCTATTAAAAACTAAAACCTCTTCAGTGTATGTAAGGCCATAGCCAAATGATCTTTCTGCAGGTAACAATGATAAATTCTGAGTAAAATACTCTACACAACTATGTGAAGGTCCTGGAGAGTAAAAAAAAAAAAAAAAAAAAAAGAGGCTGGCAGATTCTTGAGGAAAGACAACACTTGGAAGAATGTCCAGGAGAGTTTCCTGTTTTTTAATACCAGCCTCAGGGCAGGGTGAAATCAGTGCTGCATTGATACCTGCTATTCTCATAGAAAATCTAGTCTTTCTGGCCTGAAAAACCAGATGATAGAGTTTGCAGTAAGAAACTGCTGCTGGAAATGAGAAATGGATCCCAGAGAGAACTAGAATGGTATAGCCCGAGGTTCTGTGTGTAACCCCTGCCCAAATCTCTGACTGACTTCTGAACCATGCATGTGCAGGGCAGACTAACAGCTTCCCAACTAGGGGTAGGTCTAGAACTGAGATTTGAGTTGCTGCCCAAGAGAAGAATTTGTAGTTTGAATCCAAGCAAGGTAATTTCCTACTAAAGCAAAAATGTCAACAGTCTTCAGTGAAGAAAATGAAATTCACAGTATAACATTTACAAGGTCCAGGATACAATCCAAAATTGAAAATGAGGAAAATGTGTCCCATTCTGAAGACAAAAAGCAGTTAACAGAGACTAACCCCAATGTGAACTGGATTAGGAGACAACTACTTTAAAGCAGCTGGGGAAGCAATTGCTAGGAAAGGGTGAGGTAAAGAAAATATGTTCAGAATGAGTGAAAAGATAAGAAATCTCAGCAGACAACTGAAATCATAAAAAATGTACATTCTAGAACTATAACATATAATATATAAAAATTCACTTGATGGGCTTAATAGCAGAATGGAGATAACAGAGGAAAGGTTCAAATAACTTAAAATTATCCAATGTAAAGAATAGAAAGAAAATGATTAGAAGAAAATAAACAGAGCCTTAGGAATGTGAGGAACTGTACAAGCTTATAACGTATTTCCAGTTAGAATCCCAGAAGACAAAGAGGGAGAGAATGAGGCAGAAACACTTTTGAAAAAACAATGACTGAAAAATTTCCAAATCTGGAACACATAAATTTATAGATTCCAGAAACTTAGTGAACTTAAAGCAGAATAAATTAGGTACCCTGTAGTAAAACTGCTAAAAACCTAAGGTAAAGAGCAAATCTAGAAAGCAACCAGAGAAAACATGACACATTAAATATGGAGGTGTTGGGAACAGGCCCCCAAAATCTGGCCGTAAAGTGGCCCAAAACTGGCCATAAACAAAATCTCTGCAGCACTGTGGCACGTTCGTGGTGGCCATGACGCCCACACTGAAGGTCGTGGGTGTACTGGACTGAGGGCAAGGAACACCTGGCCCACCCAGGGCGGAAAACCGCTTAAGGCGTTCTTAAACCACAAACGATAGCATGAGCGATCTGTGCCTTAAGGACATGTTCCTGCTTCAAGTAACTAGCCAGACCCATCTCTTTATTTCAGCCCATCCCTTTATTTCCCATAAGGAATACTTTTAGTTAATCTATAATCTATAGAAACAATGCTTATCACTGTCTTGCTGTCAGTAAATATGTGGGTAAATCTCTGTTCGAGGCTCTCAGCTCTGAAGGGTGTGAGACCCCTGATTTCCCACTCCACACACTATATTTCTGTGTGTGTGTGTTTAATTTCTCTAGCGCCGCTGGGTTAGGGTCTCCACAGCCAAGCTGGTCTCGGCATGGAGGAACGATGATTGGGAACTGGTGACTTCCGTGAGAAACTTTGGAGGTCAGAGACAGTGGAACATCTTTAAATTGTTGAGAGGAAGAAACCATCAATTTAGTAATCTTATTCTAGAACTTCCTGTGAGAATGAAGACAGTAGCTCACACCTGTAATCCCAGTGCTTTGGGAGGCTGAGGCAGGGGGATTGCTTGGGGCTAGGAGTTTAAGACCTGCCTAGCCCATCTAGAGCAACATCGTGAAACCCCATCTCTACAAGACATTTTAAAAAAATTAGCTGGTGTGGTGGCACATGCCTGTAGTGGGAGCTTCTCAGGAGGCTGAGGTTGGGGGATCACTTGAGCCCACAAGTTTGAGGCTGCAGTGAGCTGTAATTGTGCCACAGCACTCTAGCCTGGGCAATAGAATGAGACTCTGTCTCTCAAATAACTAAGTAAATAAATAAAAGAATGAAGGCAAAATAAAGACATTCTAAAATTAAAAAGAAAAATGCCTCTCCTGGGCACAGAGGCTCATGCCTGTAATCTCAGCACTTTGGGAGGCCGAGGCAGGTGGATCACCTGAGGTCAGGAGTTCGAGACCAAACTGGCCAACATGGTGAAACCCTGTCTCTACCAAAAATACAAAATTAGATGGACATCTTGGTGCATACCTGTAATCCCAGCTATTTGAGGGGCTGAGGCAGGAGAATCGCTTGAACCTGGGAGGCGGAGGTTGCAGTGAGCCAAGATTGTGCCATTGCACTCCAGCCTGGGCAAAAAGAGTGAAACTCTATCTCAAAAAAAAAAAAAAAAAAAAAAAAGAAAAAGAAAAGAAAAGAAAAGTACCTAAGAGAATTTATCACCAACAAACCTGTACTACAAGAGATTCCAAAACTTGTTTTCAGGTAGAAGGAAAATGATGGATGGGTACTTCAATGATGAAGAAGTGAAATACATCAGAAATGAAAATGGTGAATATTGGGGTAAATATAAGCACTAATTTTTTCTCTTAGTTTCTTTAAAATATAGTTGATTGTTTTACATAAAATTATAGTGTTGTCTTACAGAGTTTATGGTGTATGTAGGTATGATACACGTGACACCAGTAGCAGAAAGGGGGATGTTTAGATGGTTCTATACGAATGCAGTATTTCTACATTTTTTTGAAGTGATATTATATTCTAAGTAGAGCATGAAAAGCTAAGGATGTATATTGTAATCACAGAACAGCAACTAAAATAAAGGCTGATAGATTAAATTAAAAAGGAATTTTAAAATGTATTCAAATAATCCAAAAAAAGGTAGGCAAAAAGTAAAAGAAGGGACAAAAAGAAAACAAATAATAAAATCATGGACCTAAATATTAAATGTTAATGAACTAAACATTCCAATTAAAGGTTAGAGATTATCAGAACAAATTTTAAAAATACCAAGAGATATACTTTAAAAATACACAGATAGATTGAAAGCAATTGTATGCAAAAAGATATGGCATCCAAACAGTGATGATACAAAGGCTAACATGGATGTATTAGTGCCATATTAAATAAACCTCAGAAAAAGCTGGGCCTCTCTTTCACAGCAAAGATGGATTCTGAGGTAGACGGGGAGGTCAGCTTCCCAGGGTGGCTTCCCAAGGTGGTGGAGGCAGTGGCCACACCATGGTCTGCCTCAGATGCTGAGGCAGGCCTGTGTGACTGCCGGTGGGTAGGCCATGGTGAGTGGAGAAAACAGGCACTTGTCCCCTCTGCCTGCCCTGCACATACACCTGGGCTGTGGGCCCCACCAGCAGATGCTTGTGCAGGGCTCAGCCTTTCCCTCGTTGGTTTCTGGCAGCACTAGGCCTGTGTCCCTTATTCCTGGGCCACAGTGCTAAAGTTTGTCTTCTATGGATTAGGTTGTAGCTAAATCAAGTATTGTATGGTGGCTTGTGGAAGACAATTTTGATTCTAAGATCATTTCAACAACCATTAGCTTCAGCTATAATCATTTCTGGTATCAAAAAGAAGAAATATTTTCAACATTAAGGAATTGATTAAATGATTTTTAATTTTTTTTCTTTCTTGTATCAAGGGACAAGTCATAGATTAAAAAATTTTTGACAGCAAGCCCTATCTAATTTTATAGTTGACAAATGTGTGCTATTATCACAAAGGAGAAGTCAGAGAAAGATGCTACAGACTGTGCCAATTCATTCATACAATTTTTCTTTTTCTTTTTTTTTTTTTTTGAGATGGAGTCTCACTCTGTTCGCTCAGGCTGGAGTGCAGTGGCGCGATCTCGGCTCACTGCAACCTCCACCTCCCGGGTTCACGCCATTCTCCTGCCTCAGCCTCCCAAGGAGCTGGGACTACAGGCGCCCGCCACCACACCCGGCTAAATTTTTGTATTTTTAGTAGAGACAGGGTTTCACCATGTTAGACAGGATGGTCTTGATCTCCTGACCTCGTGATCTGCCCGCCTCGGCCTCCCAAAGTGCTGGGATTACAGGCGTGAGCCACCACCCCTGGCCACAATTTTTCTGTAGTTCAAAAACCACAATATCTCACATTGTCTAGCAGCTAAAAATTTTTTTTTAAATTTTAGTTTAAGAAAAGCAAAAGACCACAATGAACTTAAATGAACTCTTTAAAGAAATTAGTTAAATAATTCCATCCACTCACACTAACACCCCATCTGGTAGTAAGGCCTTTAGACTCCAAAGACAATCTAGAGGCAAAGTGGAAGCTATTGTTGGCTAAGCCTCAGTCATTCACACTTCATAATGAAATAGATAGTTTTAAAAGTTGACAGGAGGATTCTGGTCACTGCCATTAGTTTGTACATGGGTTTTGGGTCTTGTTCACACACAAAGGATTCCCAGAAACGTCTAAGTTTTGTTCTCTTGTTGAAGACTGTAGTCATGATATTTAAGTCCATTGAATTCTATTATATAAAGAATCTCTGGTGCAAAAAACTACATCATTGGTGTTTGACCTTACTGAAAATAAGTATGTAAGTATATGGATGGTAGTGTTTTTGTATTCAAATTTTATGGAGCATTTTATAAAGAGAAAATTAGGGTCAGGTGCAGTGGCTTATGCCTATAATCTCAACACCTTGGGAGGCCAAGGCGGGAGGATTGCTTAAGATCAGGAGTTTGAGACTAGCCTGGGCAACATGGCAACATCTCTCAACACACACACACTTTAGCACTTTCATGGTTCTAAAAAAAAAAAAAAAAAAAAAGACCTTCTGGAGCCTATCATTTCCTTAGATTCCCATTACCTGTTATAGGGCATTGTACTATTTAAAACCAGGGGCCAGGAACAGTGCCTCATGCCTGTAATTCCAGCACTTTGAGGGGCCAAGGTGGGTGGATCACTTCAGCCCAGGAGTTCAAGACCAGCCTGGGCAACATGGCAAAACCCTGTCTCTACAAACAACTAGCCCAGTGTGGTGGCGTGTACCTGTAATACCAGCTAGTAGGGAGGCTGAGGTGGGAGAATCATCTGAGCTCAGGAAGTCGAGGCTGCAGTGAGCCATTGCACTCCAGCCTGGGTGACAGAGTGACACCCTGTCTCAAAAAAAAAAAAAAAAAAAAAAGTAGGATATCTAAAGTGGAGGGTTGACAATTATTATTTGAATACAAAATTGAATTTATAGGACTATGTATTTGTAGGACTGATGGAAAGAATTTCATCTTTCTGCCATCTCTAAAGCAGTTTCCATTGAAAATATTCACCAGGGATGCATGCAGTCAGTTAACATCAACAATAGATCACCCTGACTTTTCTTTTTGATGTTTTAGTTTGTGTGTCAACAAACGCATTACAAGTTGAGCATCCCTAATCTGAAAATCTGAAATCTGAAATGCTCCAAAATCTGAAACATTTTAAGGGCTGACATAACACCACAAGTGGAAAATTCCATACCTGACCTCATGTGACAGGTTGCAGTCAAAACGCTGTGATGGGCCTATTGAAGGACTAGAGCAGTGTGTATTCCTAACAAAGCAAGAAATCATGTCACTTTATAAAATCAAAGAGAGCCTTCGAAGACAAAAATTATTGTTAATTAGGCAGATGACTCTGGAGGAAACTTCTTTAAAAAGTTTTTTATTTCCATAGGTTTTTGTGGAACAGGTGGTATTTGGCTACGTAAGTTCTGTAATGGTGATTTGTAAGATTTTGGTGCACCCATCACCCAAGCAGTATACACTGAACCCAATTTGCAGTCTTTTTTCCCTCACCCCCCTCCCACCCTTTCCCCCAGGTCCCCAAAGTTCATTGTATCATTCTTATGCCTTTGCATCCTCATAGCTTAACTCCTACTTATGAGTGAGAACATACAATGTTTGGTTTTCCATTCCTGAGTTACTTCACTTGGAATAATAATCTTTAGTTCCATCCAGGTTGCTGCAAAAGTCATTTGTTCCTTTTTATGGCTGAGTAGTATTCCGTCGTATACACACACCACAATTTTTTTAATCCATTTGTTGATTGATGGGCGTTTGGGTTGGGCTGGTTCCGTATTTTTGCAATTGTGAATTGTGCTGCTATAAACATGCGTGTGCAGGTATCTTTTTTGTATAACGATCTCTTTTCCTCTGGTTGGATACCCAAGAGTGGGATTGCTGGATCAAGTGGAATTTCTACTGTTAATTCTTTAAGGAATCTTCACACTGTTTTCCATAGTGGTTGTACTAGTTTACATTCCCACCAACTGTGTAGAAATGTTCCTTTTTCACTGTATCCACACCAACATCTATTATTCTTTGATTTTTTGATTATGGCCATTCTTGCGGGAGTAAGGTGGTATTGCATTGTGATTTTGATTTGCATTTCCCTGATCATTAGTGACGTTGAGCATTTTTTCATATGTTTGTTGGCCATTTGTGTATCTCCTTTTGAGAATTGTCTATTCATGTACTTAGCCCATTTTTTGATGGGATTATTTATTTTTTTCTTGCCAACTTGTTTGAGTTCCTTGTAGATTCTGGATATCAGTCCTTTGTCAGATGTGTAAATTGTGAAGATTTTCTCCCACTCGGTGGGTTGTCTGTTTATTCTGCTGACTGTTCCTTTTGCTGTGCAGAAGCTCTTTAGTTAAGTTCCACCTATTTATCTTTGTTTTTATTGCATTTGCTTTTGGTTTCTTGGTCATGAAGTCTTTGTCTAAGCCAATGTCTACAAGGGTTTTTTTTTTATGTTATCTTCTGGAATTTTTTGGATGAAACATTTTAAAAAGCCATCCAACAGAATGCATTTCTAGAGGATGCACTTCTTGGTCCCTCAACTGCTTCTGATGTCTTTTCTCACCTAAAAAATAATAATAATAAAAATACAGTGTACAGGACAAGGCTCAACATTGTAGGTAGAGACTGAAAGCCTGCCATTGTTAATGTTGTTTGCAACCAGTATAGGTGTTCTGATGATGCTACCATGCTGCTTACTTACCATGAACACATTATTTTTTCATTATATTAATGATGTCATGTTTTTTCCTGTTGAGTACTTATATGTGAACAAGTATAAGAAAATGATTGCTGTGCTTGCTTTGGAAGCACATATATTAAAATTGAAATGATACAGAGAAGATTAGCATGGCCTCTGCACAAGGGTAAGTTTTATTTAAAAGATGTAAAATTTTTTTAAAAAGAAAATGATTGCTTATTGGTAGCATATAAAGATAGGAATGATGGTGATGCTTAACAACCACAGATTGTCCTCACGGGTGGCAGAGATAGTGATACCTTCGCTTTCTGATCGTTAAATGTACACAGTCTTTGTTTCATGCACAAAATTATTCAAAATGTTATATAAAATTACTTTTAGGTGATGTATATAAGTGATATATGGAACATAAGTGAATTTTGTGTTTAGACTTGGGTCTTACTTATTATGATTTGTGTACAGTGCCTAGCAAATTGTGTGGCTTCTAGTAGGTGTTCTGTAAATCTTGGTTCCTCTTTTTATCTGTTGTCTTCAGCACTCGTTTCAGTGAAGACATAGTAGAATTCATCGATGTGTATTGAACTGAGTATCAATCTATAATATAGTATCACATGGGAACATTTAATGAGCTGTACTACCTACAGATTTAGTAAAATGTTGTTTGAACTTTAGTTCTTTTAAAAGAAGCTATTTCAGCAACAGCTGCTTAAATAGTCCATAGGTTCTCTTTTCTTTTAGTCTGTAATACAATAAGAATCTCCTAGAAGGATAAATCAAATTGGTTCCATGAAACCATAAAATTATTGTGTGATAATTTATGGGAAACCTCCTTTAATGACATGCTTTAAAAGTTTTTCTTACTCTAAATCGATATGTGTATGTATAAGTAAGCATTATTCAGCTTCTTGATTTGACACTTGGATTTTTAAGGAAAAGATCTTCATATCCATGTACATTTCCAAAATATTTATTTAGGTACTTGTAATTACTTTAAAAATCCTCTTTGCTTGTGTTTCATCTGTAGGTATTATAGCTATTCACTGTTGAGAATTTAGAGGTACTTACACCATTTTTTACAAAATGAATGTTCTGTAATTCTAGTATTCTGTTTTACATGACCAAGTGCTCATTTCACTCTGTTTAGAGAGATGATGAAGAAATCATAGTCAAGAACTCCTGAATTTTAAAATAGTATTTAGTAATGACAAATGTTGATATAAATGTATTATGAAATCTTTATGTCTAAGAAAAATAATATTAAACAGCTAATATTAAACATTTTGGTGGCTAAATAACATTTCAAGAGACGGATCTATTGCATTGATAATTAGCATGATATTTGAATTACAAAAAACTTTTCAATTTAATGAGTATGGTCCCTTTTCACTTGTGTTCTATAAAAACCTAAAGGTTTTTAAGCCAAATGATTTCTGTTTAGAATTCTGTTTAGAATACACTTCTCAGAGCATAAAGTTTTGGATTATATATCCTTGTACAGGCTGATTTTTTAAAAAGTTCGTCCTTTAAAAAATTAAGTCTCTAAGACTTAAAGGCATTGGTATTCTATTTTAACTTTGTTGATGAGTGGAAATCTTTTAATGAAGAATATTACAAGTGGGCCTTTACATTTCTCATTTTGATTAACATATTAAAAGGTGCATACTTGTTAAACTACATCTCAGAGCCTTATACATCCATAAAAAAGATGTTATTCTACAAAAAGGACCAAAACGTTACCTTCACATAGATGAACTTTCATTCGTGTAATATGTTAGTTTTAATTCTATAACATTGTGCTCTTTAATAATCACTGATGATATGTATGGCTTATTTCCCAAAATTTTAAAGGGTTTATTGAAATATAGTTGATGTATTATAGGCTGCACATAGTTAAAGGATATAGTTTTTAAAATACTGACATATGTATACCTTCATGAGACCATTGCCACAACTAATAGAGTGAACATTTCTATCACCCCCAAAAGTTTCCTCTTGCCCTTTTTTTCCTCTCTCTCTTCTTCCCTTCCCCTTCCCTTCCCTTCCTTTTTCTCTTCTCTCTCCCCTCTCCTCTCTCTCCTCTCTCTCCTCACTCTTCTCTTCTCTTCTCTTCTCTTCTCTTCTCTTCTCTTCTCTTCTCTTCACTCTGTTGCTCAGACTGGAGTGCAATGGTGCAATCTTGGCTCAGTGCAACCTTTGCCTCCTGAGTTCAAGTGATTCCCCTGCCTCAGCCTCCCAAGTAGCTGGGATTACAGGCATGTGCTACCACACCCGGCTAATTTTGTCTTTTTATTAGAGAGAGGGTTTCACCATGTTGGTCAGGCTGGTCTTGAACTCCTGACCTCAGGTGATCCGCCCGCCTCGGCCTCCCAAAGTGATGGAATTACAGGCATGAGCCACCATGCCCGGCCTTGCCATTTTTTTCATCTGTCACTACCAAACCTGCTGTCCCTCTCACAAGCAGCTACTGATTAGCTTTCTGTTGCTGTAGATTCGTTTGCGTTTTCTAGAGTTTTATATAAATGGAATCACATAGTATGTACTCATTTTTTTGGTCTGGCTTCCTTTACTCTGCATACTTATTTTGAGATTCATCTATTTTGCTATGTGTATGAATAGACTACCCTTTTTATTGCTGAGTAGTATTTCATTGTACAGATATGGCACAATTTGTTTATCCATTCTCCCGATGATGGATATTTAGATTTCTTCCAGTGTTTGGCTATCCCAAATAAAGCTGAAGTTTTTAGCTTATTTATGAATGAAGCTGCTATAAACATCGAGTATGTTTTTAAAAATTATCTGATTTTTCCATTTTTACCACTTCCCACAATCATGGCTATCAACTCTTAACATACACCAATGTTTTTATCCACCTTCCTCAGCAACTTGGCAATTAGGAAAGACTGAAAATATTTAACATTAAACCCATTTCCTACATTTTCATCCTTTTACTCATTAGAGGTATTTATTATACGGAAGAAAAAAATCTGATTTTGAATCTTGAAATCTAAATAGCCTGGCCAGCATTATTTTACCTTTTATGACATTCCTAAATAAAAATTTTAAATATAACCAAATTGAAACCTGTAGTCTTTAATTACCCAAAGAGCTTATGCAAATACTTTCCTTACTATAATGATGTTATGATGAATCTTTTCTAAAGAGAATAAATGTTTCCTAATGACCATATTTTATTTCCATAAGTATATGTGGCATTTGAAGTCTATCATAGTTACCAAGTTTTCTCTAAACAAGGAAATATGGAAAAGATCCCATAATGCCATACTTTTTTAAAAAATTGAGACATATAATCTAATTTGTGTTTTTTATTATTTAAAAATTTTTTACTATTCCTTTTTTTTTTTTTTGAGACAGTGTCTCACTCTGCACCCAGGCTGGAGTGCAGTGGCACTATTGTGACTCACTATAGTCTTAACCTCCCCGGGTTCAGGTGAGCCTCCCACTTCATCGTCCCGAGTAGCTGAAACTACAGGCATGTGCCACCACTCCAGGCTCATTTTTCTATTTTTTTGTACAGACAGAGTTTCACC